TTTGCGGATTTTTAACCTCGAGCCGGCAAGTGCGAAATCCACCGATAAAGTTGTTCCAAATTACGTCTTTTTCACCCTGCAAAGCATTCGATTATTTTGGTTAGTCATCAACATTACCATTGGTCTCGGGATCCACCTCGGCGTATCGAGATGGTGCCTTACGACGTGCGTTGAGATTAAATTAATCTGGAATAATCTAGGCTTTAATTAAAATTGGACGTCAACTTAGGGCTTCCTGCTTTACAGCCGTCAGTTTACCCTAAAAATAAATTACAGCAACGGTGGCGACTCATACATTCACCGTGCCATTTCTTGCCCTTAGTCATAGCATTTTACAACTGCTACTGTTTTCTGGCGAAGGGGTTTCACCGGTTTGGCGACTTCACTGGGGGAGGAGGATTATTGCAATCTTGCAAATAAAGGCGGAACTACGATCCGTTGTGTAAAACTAACCTACCCTTCTTTAGCGTGAGGGCTAATTATTTTACTATCGCTTTGTTTTGCAGGGTACCCCAAACAAAAACAAAAAAATTGAAGTTCATCTTTCTTTTAAGAGTGATGTCTTTAACAAGGAGAATTTGGGACTTTTAACTTGTCAAACTTTACTTTAAATCATTTAAATTTTTTGTTTATTTATTTGCACGAATTGTGAGAATCTTTTTATTTCCATTGAGCAATAAAAAAAATGGAATTTTCAAAATGAATCTTTCTTCTCTCTCTGTTCAAACTTCTGAGCTCTGGATAGCAAGTATGTAGGTCCGCTGATCGGCAGGTCTCTCTTGACTGGTTCTATGTCAGAGGGACAGCCAACAGCGTGTCCTCCCTGTTACCGCAAAACCCGTATCCCTAATCCTTTGGATGGCCATTGAGTATGGCGTACCGTTGGACCACGGCGAAACTTCCCTATGTTTCACATGTGGTTTAGGTATATCAAGCTCATAGGTTCAAGCCGTCCCCTTAACTAAGCCACATTCCTCCTATTTGCTGTCATAGCCTATAGAACCTATCCTTTTAGGGCTGTATGTACCCCAATGATGCTGAATCATTCCATTAAAATGACTTATCGTGTGTGATGTTATGCACATTCACGCATCATCCCATTACGTCAAAAAAAAAAAAAAAATGGGTCTGGAAAATGATAAAAAGAGAATACCTTAAAAAAAGCTAAAAAAACATTCTATTCTCAAAGCTTTGGAAAATGCCAATTTTGCCCTGAAGACCTGGAAAGAATTACATTTTGGATCCTTATGGGCCCAACAAATTCAGACATTTTGGCCCCTAAGGCCCCAAAAAAAAATTTTTTTTTCTTTGAGAACTGTAGGGCCATTCGAAAAGTCGAGGTGCCCAGCCCCTAGCACTCTACCTTAATATCACATTCCCATGGGTCCTACTCCTAGGTGTCCTTAGCCATTACCAACATTACGCCTACCAGCACAGGTGCAAACCTCCCGATACTCACAGGTCAAGTCAATTTTCCTATACCCAACACTAACCCTACATTGTGTTTGGTTGCAATACCCCATCGCCCACATCGACAAGGTCAAGTCAAATACCTACCCATACACTTACCCTACCTCACACTTATCCTCACATACCCTATTGAAAATTACCTTATATAGGATAGTCATAACGTTTTGGACTATGTCCTTCGATCATGGTACCCGCTGTTCGATGTGCCTGATCCAAGTTCCAGTCACACCTACAGTGCTATTTCACCAGGCTTCACCAAACCTCACCAGCTACACTAGCTTCACCTACAACTCCAACCAACCCCCCCCCCACCTGCACCAATGCATCACTTACTAACATCCAAAACCGTCATTGAACAACTGGAGGCCAGAAATTGGAGGCCAGAATGAATGGAGCATTGGCGTTGCCCAAAGGACTGCCCTAATTAGCTTGAACTAGTTGGTAGTTTGGTATGAAACCTAGGGCCTTCCGCTGGGGGAAGTGTCCTGCTACCTCCAAATCAGGGTCCTACCTGTTGGAATCGACAAAACCCTTGCCCTTAACCTGCGACGACATGCCCTCCAGAAAACTGCTTTCTAACTGGAAGTCAGAAAGATGAGAGAGAGAACTATGAACTCCTAGGGAAAAGCGTCTATTACTGCCCTTCAAGACACATAAGGAAGTGGTGGAACATTCGACTCCTTGTCCTTGTTTCCCGAAGCAAAGAAACTGCCCAACAAGTCCAAATGCCTAACATGACAAGTTTGACGCGGAACCACTTGTCCCCAAAACGCACCTAAAATGTATGTGGGTGCCTCAACCCGTTTTTGGCTGACAGCGAGCTCCTTGCTCAAGTTGTTTCAAGCAATCTTGGACTGTGCCTGCATTTAGATAGGTTTGTAAGCTTGGCATCGTTCCAAATAGAAGAATTGGTGAGGAGGACATATGCAATGCTTTCAAACAACGCAGTACCATTATTAAATTATTTTGAAGTGGATGTTACCTGGAGGAGCTTGGGGATGGAGGAAAAACCATTAAACAAAAAAGGAACCAGATGGAGCCCTTCTCCTCGTCCCCTTTCAGAGGTGGAGAGCCCAAGCTGCTCAAATTGATCCAAAAAACCGACCCTCTGAACAGGAACAAGGTGACATAATAATCAAGAATTTACTGCTTGGTCTACCAGTCACAGGCCTTCAAACACAGTACTGCCCTACTGTTTCCAATCGCTCATTTGGGGCAAACTGCAACTTAAGGTGGGAAGACTTAATCCAGTTTGGGCGTCAACTCAAGAAAGAAAGACTCATACAAGGATAGCAGAAAATTCATGCTGGGTCCCAGTGACGGACAAATGAAATTCTAGCAAGTATCAATCCCCACCCAAAATCCTTTACGGTGTTGGGAATTTTGGGAAAAAAACAATCAGACCAAGGAGAGGCAAAATTATACTGAATTCTCGGGCATGCCAATCCCTTTTGTTGGTGTTTTCCGAGAAGCAGGTGGCAAACGCTTCGTGATTCATGTTTTTTCCGAAAGCAAAATCTTTGCTCT